TTATTGTTTGATGGGGTTAGGAAGTTTCTCCTAAGTTCCAGGTTGCTTCTCTCCTTGATTAGTTTCCATCCACTGTTTCTTGTCTTGCCTTCTGGTGCTTTGGAAAGTAAGTTGACCTCCTCTTCTTCGTGGCAGCCCCTCAAATACTAGAATACTGCTATCATGTACCCCAGTCCTTCTTTTCTCTAGACTGGCCATACCCACTTCCTGCAACCCGTTCTTCATATGTTTTAGTCTCCAGGCCTTTAATCATCCTAGTTGCTTTTCTATTATTTTAAAATAATAGGTCAACTTCTGCAGTGTTCAGAAGCTTCTGCAGCACTCAGCAAACCTTGCTAAGGCAGTTTGCCTGGAGGCTGCCATTTTGTCCCTGTCATCCCCATATTGTATGTATTTTGAACTTTTTTTTACAATAATAATCATGTTTCCAAGGAGCACAGAATGAAGCAGCTTGAAAATCTTACAAGTATTGTTTGCAAATGTATTTACTGTATATAAAAGTGGGAAATGTTTTTTGCTTGCTTGGAAGTAAACTCCCTAAACTTATGGATCAATATTCTTAGCAATGAACCATAGTATTTAGTATCTAAAATAGTGGTACAGGGAAGCATATTACTAACTTTCTATGACACAATTGTGTAAGTGCATAACATACCTTTTTTTTTTTCCATTAAAAGGCATCCTTGTCTCCAAGAAAAAACAGAGCAAGGGCAAACCTTCCACCCCTTGAGTAATGGAAGATTAAAAAGAAAAAAAAAATAGAAATTTATAACTACATTTTTTTTTCATCCCACTGGCAATGATGATTTCTTCTGCAACACTAGGATCCAATAGAAGAGAATATTTGTAGCTCAGGATTGAACTGTGGCATCCTTGGTGCTCTCTGAGCTTGCAGACTATCACATGTTTGTCACACGTTTCAAGATCTACTACAGGCACATTAAAAAGAATGGTGATCTAGAGATTTTTTTTTTCCTGGAGACTTTATTGTAAACATCTGCAGCCAATTACAACATGGCACCAAACTTGTGAATTAGTGACTGACAATTGTACTTTCACACATTTATAATGCCCTTTAGTGTGGTTTAGTGTGGTTTATAATGCCCTTTAGTGTGGTTATTTACGGGACTGCCTGCTGCCACCAATAGCCTCCCACCGGCAAGTACGCTTCTCATAGAGAGGGGCTCCTCCGGGTGTCGTCAGCCAAATGGTGTTGACTGGCGGCCCCTAGGGGGGAGAGCCTTCTCTGTGGGAGTACCTGCTATCTGGAACGAGCTCCCCCCAGAGATACGGAGGATCCCAGATCTACGCACCTTTCGCCGCGCTCTCAAGACTTTCCTATTTCAACAGGCCAGCCTGGCCTAACTTTTTCTTTTCCTTTTTTAATTCAAATGATGAATTTTAAATTTGTCTTAAAACATTAGGGTTGTTTAAATTGTCACGGGCCAAATTATTTAATCAGATTTTATACTGTTTTTAAATTTCGTAATTTATGTGTTTTATCTGGCTGTTCACCACCCTGAGTCCTGCGGAAGTAGGGCGGTATATAAATCTAATAAAATAAAAATAAATAAAATAAATAAATAGTGCATGGGTGGCACAAGTGGCATTTGAGTGACATCCGGTGAGATGTAACAAGCACTACATAAATTAGAAATAAAGGTCAAGTGGGAGAGGTTCACCAAAGGAAACTTCTTTATTTGAAAATGTAAATTCCAGAAAACCTATCTTGGAGAGCTAATTATTTGGAATTGGGGATCCCTCTCCCTACATACCGTGTTTCCCCGAAAATAAGACCCTGTCTTATATATATTTTTTGAACCTTGAAATAAGTACTTGGCCTTATTGCCACGTGCTCAAAAGCCCAATTGGGCTTATTATCAGGGGATGTCTTATTTTGGGGGAAACAGGGTAGTTGAGCACACATGGGACATGCTGAACTTTATTCATTCAGCAAGAAGAGCTCTGCAACAGACATTGGCTAGCACCCCCATTAGTTCTCGTCAAAACAAGAGACAGAACCAGATCCCAAGATCTTGTGATATATTCCTTCAGATGAATCCAAACATGGAGAAATGGGAGAAATTTCAGCCAATCTTCCAAAACATCATGGGAATCAGCAAGGAAGAGCAAGAAAAAACATCCAAGGAGGTGTCTAGAATCCCCATAAGAATTGCTCCAAGGAGAGACGTACCTTACTGACAGTTCAATGGTTTTGATCAGTGGTGAAATCCTCCCTGGTTTGCCACCGGTTCGCTGCCCGTGCATGCGCAATACACACCAAATGCATGCTGCACGTGTGCACAGTACATGCCAAATACGTGTTGCGCATGGAAAAAGGAGGCTTGGGAAGGTAAGTAATACAGCGAGGGGGGGAACAGCTGTGCCGTGTGATTTAGATTCACTAGAAAGCAGGATTTTCTGCTTTCTAGCAATTTTAAATGGCACGGCACAGCTGATCGTCGGAAATATTGGTTTGGATCAACCGGTAGCTTTTATCACAACCAGTTTGCCTGAACCGGTAGGATTTCACCACTGGTTTTGATGGGCGAAGGAAGTAGTGGGAATTTAAGCCCAACACATTGCTCTTTTAACACCCATTTTGCATCTTCATATCCCATGGCTGAAATTCAACAGTAACACCACCCCTTATCAACAGAGCTTTTTTTATTTTAGAAGTTAAAATTAGGTATGGGGGTGGGTTGCACCTCTACTTCAAGGGTAGCGTTAGTCAACTCCTTAAAGAACCAACTTCGTTTTGTAGGCTAATATAGGAGTTAGAAACAAGACACAGGTGGCTCATAAGATCTGGAATGTTTTTTCCTCAGTCATTATGGATTGATGACTTTGTATTTCATATACTTTGTTTAGAGAGCCAGTTTGGTGTGATGGTTAAAGTACTAGGCTAGAAACCCAATCCAGTACATGCAAAAAGGCAGCAGGGTGACCTTGAGCCAGTCACTCTCTCTCAGCCCTAGGAAGGAGGCAAGGACAAACCACTTCTGAAAAACCTTGCCAAGAAAACTGCCGGGACTTGTCCAGGCAGGCTCTGAGAACTAGACAGAATTGAACACATGAAAAAAAAATCATTTCCATATAAACTCTGCAAGAATCCCTCTAAGTATGTAGAATATGTTGGCTCCGCTTATCAGGGCTGAGCTTTGAGAAAAACAGCATTTCCTTCCACTCTTTCTCCTGTTTTATAAAGAAACAGGTTCATCTATTTGCAGAAAACAATCCCTGCTTTCTCTTGCACACAAAAAGGATCTCCCAGCAGAAGGCAGGGCAGGATTGTTTCCACCTGATCCTGCATGGCAGGAGCTTCTGCAGGGGGAATCCCAAAAGTCAATATGGAGATTACACAATAGGCAGCCAGCCTCTTTTGTACCTGTGTGAATGTGGCATGTGCATACAGAGGGGTGGGGCTTCAGTCATTTTGACACATTCCCCACGGATGCTGTTGTACACCACTAATTATTTATCAATGTGAACTGCAGATTTCAACTACTTGCTCCCTCATTCCTGCATAAAGTACCTTGAGAGGATAAGTTTGGGAATTGGATAGATCTGAAACCTCCCGTCTATGCTACTTTTTATTCTCCTTCTCTTTACAGCTTCTGATATACAAAAGAAATCTGGGTGAATAAATAACACCAACATTTTGGTGCTTTTATTTCTTAAACAAAATCATCCCAAATACTCTGTGGAAAAAGTAATCACACAATCCCTCCATTCTTTCACCAGCTTTTGCTATAATAATCGCTATCAAAATGCTTCTTGTAATTGGCAATTAGTCTCATATCATTATGTAGTAATTTTGGGCTATTTCTCTACAGGAAATTTCCCTTGATTCAATTATATTTGGAGCAGTTGTAGCATTTCAAGTTCTGCCACATTTTTGTATGGTGACTCTAGCCATTCCAAAACACTAAATTGGTTCTTCAGTTTTCTTGTAGACGTGCCGGGACTATGAACTTGCTGCACAATCTGGTTCATTTTAGCTTCAGTTCTTCTGCAGAATTCCCTGATGCATAGCAGAATTCATGTTTCCTTCTATGATGGGGAATCATCCACTTCCTGAAGTAGCAAAGCAAAACCCGTGACACCACCACCTCTGTGCCCGAGGTTCTTATTTGTGGAGGGCAGGTTTTGGTTCTCACCAACTGATGCGGTTATGTGGCCTAGAAATTTGAGATAAGTGATGTTTTTTTCTTAGTAGGCAATGGTTTCTGTTGTTGCTACATTTCCATGAATCCCATTTTTATCCAGGTTCTTTTTGGATGGTGAAGTCATGAATAATGACTTTAACTAAAGTAAGACACATCTGCAAATAAATCTCAATGTTATAGGGGAGTGGGGGGGGAGGTGGTTGTTGGCTAGGGATTTACGTTTGCTGGATTCTAGGAGATCTATTTTCTTTGCTGTTGTGCCCACCTGATTGAACATCCTTCCACCTGGAATTAGATTGGTGCCATCTCTTTCAATTTTTTTTTTTTTTTTTTTGTAAGGCTCTACTTATGCTGCCAGGCATGGGATCCCAAGATCTGTCCTGATGACTCCATTGCTGAGTGGGGATATTTTTATCCTCTCTTCATCCAAGGTATCTTTGTTTTTATGTTTATTTATTACTGTGGCTTTTGGCTTTTTAAAAAATCTGTTTTATATTGGCTGTTTTATTTAATGTTGTGCACCAACCAGAGTCCTTTTGAAGGAGATGGGCAGCTGTATAAATTTGGTTAATACATAAATGTAAACATTTGTTAGTATGCTCTTCTTCTATCCTAGTGGTAATACTGGGAAGAAACTGGACAAAATATATTATAAATAACTGTATTTCTGGATTACAGAGGAAAAAGGAGGGAGACTAACATCTAAAATGAACTGAGTTGACTGTTCTTGACATATCATGTATCTGTGCAATGACGCTGAATAGCGTTTCCCCATATAATAGCATTATAATAATCAATAGGAGAGCAATGAAACTTGCAAATAGCTAGAAATCTGTCAAAAATGGTGGTCATGTTATAATTTGGTCAGTGCAAGACAAACAGACAGGAGGTTCAGTTGGAGACAGCAGGTCAATGGATCAGATCCCACATGGTTCTTCATCGCAGAAGGGACCACTTAATCTGTTCCTTTGCTGACTGCAGTACCTGCAAAAAGAAGAAGGTAAACATTGGTGGTGACATGAATTTCTTAACACAACTGTCCACCCACATAATTCTTTTACAGAAAAATATCTCAGAAGAGGGGTTCATAACACAGAGACATAAACTAAAGCTGAGAAGGGCAAATCTAGTATCTATGCACATTCAGTGCAAATGCAAATCCCGAGTCCTAAATAAAATAAAACGGGAATCCACTTTGTCAAAAGCACAACTGACTGATGAAAATCTTTTGTGGGGTTTCAAATTCTGTAATCGCATTTCCAAGTTACAACAACTTTGCTCATCCCACAGTGGGACAGCATCAGATGGAAGAGGGCTATTCAACTAGTCTAAAAATTCAAAGTTTGGATCACTGAAATGAAAGCGAAGACCAGTTGCGCATTCAGTTCTGCATCATGCTTCAAAGCTCGCATTTGTGTGATGCAACTGCCCTCATATCCCTAGGATGTTAGTGGCACACTATCTATCAATGTCTTCAAGTGTAAATTCAAGAAAGGTTCACCGGAAGGAAGAGTCAAGGGTAGCCAGGTATATGGAAAGAGGATATCAGGCAAAATGTAAAATACTACAAAAAATCTGACCAGAAGACATACCTGTGAGACTGTCTGTTCTGTGAGAGGGACATCCTCCCCCTAAAATAGGAAGAAGGAACTCTGTTTGGTGGGATGCAGAATATCTCATTGACCTTTCTGAAAAATAGATCTGATGGAATCCTACTTTTCTGTCCCCAAAGCAGGGACAACAATTTGCCACTTAGGCCAACTGCTTATCAAGAACGCATCCTTTCTCTTCCCCTGCCTCCATAACATTACATCCCACTTGCAGACAATCCCAGATAAAGATATGGAATTGTGACATCCTTTCATCTGTTGCAAATACAAGCTAAGTAACTGTTGCCTCTGCCTGTCAGCCAATTGGGTCAGAAAGCTCCTGCCTGCTGGACAGGCTGTCAAGAAAGAAAAGGTTAGATAAGGGTCACTTACACGTACAGCAACCCTATGTAAAACTTGCTGGGGATCACTCTCCAAAATCACCCTGTAAGAGAGAAAGAAATAATTGTTCACCAAATTAGCAATAGCAATAGCACTTAGACTTATATACAGCTTCACAGTGCTTTGCAGCCCTCTCTAAGTGGTTTATAGAGTCAGGCTATTGCCCCCAACAATCTGGGCCCTCATTTTACCGACCTCAGAAGGATGGAAGGCTGAGTCGACCTTGAGCCTGGTGTGAATTAAACTGCCAAATTGCAGTCAGCCGGCTGTCAGCAGAAGTAGCCTGCAATACTGCATTCTAACCACTGCGCCACCACAGCTCTTCAACTACAAATTGAACTACATTCTCTGATAGCTCTTGGAAGGGGAGGGGTAACAAGAGTAACAAAGACTGATATTTCCTGAAACAACCCAAGGCATTTCTTACCATTGAAAATGCATATTTTGTCCAGAGATATGCACAAGATCCATATACAGGTAAACCCTAATTTGAGCATGAACAGATTTCTAAAGACATTGGACTCACCCCCCATCCACAATTTCATCCACTGCGAGGAAAAGGCCTTCCATGTTCTCTAGGAGAGCTCGTTTCTCCACATTCTTTCTGCAAGAGATGCCGAACATTACTGAGCGTGGAACTAGGGCATTGGATACCATTTTAGACTCTTAAAGTTTCTAAGGATCAGGACCTGGTTCAAAACTGAAATCTCACAAACACCCCCCTCCCCCCCTTTATTTTAACATGGTGTTTCTCAGCCCGTGATTGGAAGCAAATAAATTATCTAGATGGAATGCCACTCCTCCCACCCCAAAATGTAAAAAAGCTTATACGATAGAGGAAAAGCAGAGTGGGGGGGCAGAGCAGCCAGTGTTCAGTTGAGTTTGCTGAGGCACACGGAACTAAGTAGCTCAAGATCAGGGGTCCCCAAACTTGGCAGCTTTAAGACTTGTGGACTTCAACTCCCAGAATTCTCCAGCTAGCATAGCTAGCTAGCTGGCTGGAGAATTCTGGGAGTTGAAGTCCACAAGTCTTAAAGCTGCCAGGTTTTAAGACCTCTGCTAAATGAAGCCACTAGTAGCTTGAAGCCCCTGCTTTCCCACCCCCTGAAAACCCTACATCACAGGTGTCAAACTTGATTGCGTCACGTGACGTATCACAACTTTTTTGCCTTTGCGGAGCTGGGGTGGGTGTGGCCTGCGCATGATGCGTTTGGCCCGTGGGCTGCCAGTTTGACATCCCTGCCCTACATGGTGGACCTACCAATTCTCAAACATGCAAATCCACAGATGGACTCCAGATTATTAATACAAGTTGCAAGAATACATCCTGAGAGGGTTATCTAATCAAAATCTGGTTATTTCTGAGAAAGGAAGTCAGTCCTCTCTAATGAGTTTCCCTGTAGACATCTTGCACCTCAGCTCCCATACATCTCAGCTATAGCCAATAAGGAGCGTCTTACCGCAACATCTGACTGAGTGAGTCAAAGAGGCAGTTGAGCACAGCCATTAGCATCAGCTGCAAAGGAAAAGCACATCCATATGATCAACATAAATGCATACACAATGACCCAAAGGCCCAAACCCAAAAGATTGGTGTTTTGCTACAAGTCACTAGGGACTCAAGTCATGGTGTGCCAGATTTGTGCATCTATGTTGTGTGCCATTAGTCCTTTCTCTTAAATATATATGAGGTTCTCAGTTTAAAATGGAATAAGAGAGGGTAATGATTCAATCTTGCCACAACGTTCGGTCCAAGGTCAACAGTGACAGTATTTTGCAGTTTGCAGTCAGTTTTCACACAACCTAAGGTTGCCATCATACAGTATAACAATGATGGCAACAACATTTTCTTCATATGGAAGTCAGCGTGGTTGAAACTAGTGATGCTACTGCAAACAGTTGCTTTGCTGTTCCTAGAATAACATACCTCATTTTCATAGGAGCTGCCGATAACATAAAAATACAGGTCAATGCTGCTCTTATAAACAACAGTCAGGCCTTCTAAGAGGGCAATCTCACCTGGAACAAGAGAGGGTGGGAGGTAGATAAATAAAACTAAACTATATTTCCAATCCTGAGTAATGATGATATTCTGATATAGTACAGCCACCCTTAACTTTCCAAAGCTGCTTAACAAGAAAATGTTGCCCCAGTTATTGCAGGCTTTTGGGAGAATCTACACTATAGAAACAATTGGCTCTTGCTTTAAAAAAATGTTTAAACTGGACTGCTGTAATAACCTATCAATACTTATATTCATACCAATTTGCAATTAGTGTTACATAAAGAAATTATGTGTTACAGGGTGTAGCGTGAATCCACATTCCTGCATCAGCTCACATGCACAAACGTGTGGGGTGTTCTCAGGAAACAAGAAATTTGAAAGGAGTATCTTATTATAGTCATGTAATATGAGTTTTTGATTTTATGTAATAGGAGGGGGCATCAACAAGAAAATTTTGTTTCAAAACTGAACCTTGAACAAAATCCAGAGGGGATTTTAGGGAATAGGTAGGACAATGCTAGTGGGCCTCGTTTCTCTTAAAGAATTTTCTTTTTCAAAGAAAACTGTAGACTCATGGAATTCAAAGGAGACATTTAAGCCTTAGACCTAAATGCTCTATTCATGGACTACTACCCAACTGACTGTATCCAATAAAAAAGAACCCACCATCACTTTGAATAGGCTGGTTCTACTGTAAAGCTGTTTTTACTATATTTTCCTGACATTCAACCCAAATGCACTTTCTGTAACAAGACCACTATTCTGTGTCTTGCACTCTAAGACAATGGAAAGCACATCTTCATTTTCTTCTAAGTCAGCCACTTTCCAGAATTTAAAGAACACTGACATCTTTTCCCTCACACTCAATTTTTCACAGCCAAACCTTCCCACTCAATCTCTTCTCATAAGAGAGCTACATGGACTGCTTACCCTTGATGTAACAAATTTCTCCCAAAAATGAAGTATAAATTAAAAATAGCCTGGGAACTTAAAAAAAAAAACAGCGTTCTTAAAAATGTTCTTAAAACTTTCTTGAACACATTAATTCTGGTTTTTCCCACTGGTATAGATCTGGCCTTTGGAATGTATTAACAAATATTGAAAAATAATGGGTAAATCATGATCCATGGAAAACCTACTATCTGTCCGATGGGTCTTGCCGAAAATATTCTTCTCAAACGCCTTCTGCTCCTTGACGGTGGGATAGGTGTCATCATAATACTAGTACGGGAAAAGAAAGGCTGATTAGCTGAGAGGCAAGGAAAGAAAACAAGTGGTCAGGTTCAAATGAGACATACAATCATGCTAAAGGCAATTTCATATACTAAAATCAGGAGCAGGGGATCCTGTAAGATATGGTCAGACCACCATTTCCAGGAAACATGCTAGTTGGGAGTTAATGTAAATTATGAACTCAAGAATATTGAGAGGGCCAATGGCTCATGTCTCATTTAACTGCACAGTCTGCCACATCTATAAGGTGTGGAAGGGTATTCTAAGTTTCTTTTCCATCATAATAAACCTGACAGGCACTTCCCTGTTTTCTACAAATGGGGAACTGAGGCAGATATAAGGCAGTTGAATCTTGGTAGAAGGAAGTTGAGCTAAGATCTCATAAATTATCCACCCAAATCAAATGTAGCTGCAGAGACACATTTCCTTCAAGATAATACACTAGGGCAGAAAAAGATGTGATAGCTTCATTAAAAAAGAAGCAAAAAAAAAAAAAGAAACAATTCTAAACCAGACATTTTTCAATAGATGCAGATTTGGGGAATGGGGAAGCATTGCAGGCAAATCCTGCAATTGGAGCTATAGTTTGAGTTCTTCTTAAAACTTGGAATTTTTCCACTCTTTACAGGCCCCGTCACTTACCTTAGCAAAAAGACGGTCTCCATCATTGTCTAAAATCAGAATGGCTTTCACTGTGTAGAGAGATGGTTCCTGGAGGGGAAAAAAAGGTACACATTCACTGTTCCATTCAATTAATGCCAAGTGCAACTCGTTTTTTTAACCAGAGTGTGGTGTAGAGATGCACAGCATCACCATCATAACTTGTCACACTGAACAAAACTACAGTATGTAGATGCTGAGGTGAAATGAAATCTATATTGTGTCCCAAATTTTATTCAGCTATTGTGATAGTAATGAGTTAAACAAATTAAAACCATAGTAAGGGACCCTGAAACATCCACATTGACCACTGTGGGTCTGATTCCAAGGTTTATAGTTCTATATGTTTTCAAACTTCACATAGCCCCTCACAAGGACTAGAAACTTCATTTCTTTTTCTCTAAGGGGATGAATTGTCGGAGACCAAATGACATTTTTGTCTGCTACCATTTTATAATGTGAAGAACACATATAGATCTACTGATGAAATAAATCTGTCACAATATGTCATTCCAGGTCTGCATAACTTACAGTCTATTCAGTCTAATACAGTTACTTGGTAAGTTATGGCAGCCCATTCAGTAAGTAAGAATTGCTGGGAGTCGGGCACGTATAAATTTAAATGCTGCTACGGTACTACTACTGCTGCTGCTACTACTGATAATAATAATTATAATATTATTACTAATAATAATAATAATAATAGCAGCAGCTGCAAGGAGCTCCCACAGTCTGATTACAAAAAACAAAGACAAAATAAGTAGCAATAATGGTACACTTAAATATTTACAAGAAATACCATTTGCCCACACATAAGAACTGGTGGGATTATAAAATAGACAAATAGTAGAAAATGAAGATGCTAAAGTGCTCTGGGACTTTAGAATTCAGACAGACAAACACCTGCCACCTTAACAATTGTTGATAAGAAAGACAAAAAACCTCTGGACAGTGGATGCTGCAGTACCTGGAGGTAGCAAAAGAGAAACAACTGGAGAAAATCACAAACTATAAAGACCTGGAGATAGAACAACTGTGGCAAAAGAAAGCAAAGGTAGAATCAATAGTCATAGGTGCCTTGGGTGTAATCTGAAAACATGTGAAACATCACATGAATGCCCTTGGCATTGGCAAAAACACCACCAGTCAATTGCAAAAGGAGCTATATTTGAAAGCACTTGCATACATCCTGTGATGATATCTTTAACACCATCAAACAATAATATCTGTCTGTGACAGGTCCTTGGGGAAAGGTTCAATAGGTGGGTAAAAACCAGGGGTGATATGTAAAATGTGTTACTACCGGTTCTGTGGGTGTGGCTTGGGGGGGGTAATGTGACTGGGTGGGCGTGACCAACTTTTTTTTTTTAACTTTTCAAAGCATTTTTTCTAATGCTTTGAAAAGCCTCTGGTGATCAGGCAACTCAGCTGGGATCATCAGAGATTTTTCAAAGCAATTTTTTTACCACCTCTTCGGCCAAGAGGTTGCAGAAAAAAATGCTTTGAAAAGCCTCTGACGATCCCAGCTGAGCCGCGCGATCATCAGAGTCTTTTTAAAAAAAAGCTTTTAAAAGCATTTTTTCGTCGGAAGAGGTTGTAGAAAAAATGCTTTTAAAAGTAAAAAAAAAAAGCCTCTTGATTATGCGACTCAGCTGAGCATGGTGGGGGGGGGGCGCAGGGATTTTTGCTACCGGTTCTCCGAACCATCTGCCGCCATCGCTACCGGATCAGGCGATCCGGTTTGAACCGGGAGCATTTCACCCCTGGTAAAAACACCCTCCAGTCTAAATCTCTGGTTGACTGTGCGACCAACCATAATGTAATAATTAGGGGACGTGGAATGTTTCAACTGCACCAGGCAGTTGAATAAGAAAAAAGGGCACTGGAAGACTCTCCGAAGGATTGTGAAGAAGATGCACTGAAGCTACTACATCATGAGGGTTTATTGAATATCAAAGAGGCCAAACAGGCCTGTAAGAAACTCCAAATGAAGAACAAAGAAGAGACATGCATGGCAAGGCAAAATATTACATAGTCAATGTACTCCTCCAGAATACAGACTCGTCTTACCTCAATGTACTATATTATGTAAACCTCCTTCCCATATCAACGTTTGGGATTTTTTCTTTTTTAAATTTGATTTATATGCCGCCCTTCTCCGGAGACTCAGGGCGGCTTACAATGCGTTAAGCAATAGCCTTCATACTTTTGTGTATTTATACAAAGTCAGCTTATTGCCTCCACAAACTGGGTCCTCATTTAACCTACCTTAGAAAGGATGGAAGGCTGAGTCAACCTTGAGCCTGGTAAGATTCGAACCTGCAGTAATTGCAGGCAGCTGTGTTAATAACAGGGTGCTTTAGACCACTAAATTTTTGCCCACTAAACCATCTATCTTGAATTGGATTATACAATGGAGATAGAAATATTGTCCCTCCCTCTTTTCTCTCTACTTCTCTCAAGCAGAGGCACACAATCTTCTAATAATTGCAAAGAAGAGAGGATTTCCGTTGTACCTGCAAAAATTTCACCTTTAAGAAGTTCCTGGAGCCTCAGCCTTTTTATGAGAGAAGTAGTAAGATAAGACCATAAATTTTGAGTAGTCAAGGAGCAATTTTGCAAATTGCTCCTTGGCTAAAAACAAGTGAAGGTACCGCTCTCAACTCAATAGCAGAACTACCTAAATGTGGATCAGTCGAATATCAGCTTGTCAAAGCTATGACCAGTTATAGCTTCCATCGTAAGTCAATATGCAACATAAAACTTTCCAGCTCAATCCTGACATACAGGGTCAAAATTATGGGAAACATGGACCTCTTTCTTGCCAAGTTTAGAGCTCAATGGGATATTCTAACAGGATTCAGACAAAATTGTAGCTGCATGGTGGAGCATATCCTTTGCCTAAAGAAGAACTCAAGACAAAATTCCTGCTAAGCTTCAAGATAGGCTTAATAAAAATCCTATCAAACATCAACTGTTGGGCTTGGCATAAATCAGCTCCCCAAATTCCTAACAGCCTCCTGAGGTGAAGCTGGAGAGAGAAAGGGCCAGAGGAGAGCCATTTTTTCCCCTGATGGATGCTGAAAAGCTCTCGAGACAAAGTTCTGTGATGCACTGACTTCCATGTAGCCACAGTCAAAGTGTATAACAGAACTTCACCTCAAGCGCTACAACAGGTCCTCTCTGGGAACAGAAGACTATCTGTGGAACAGACCCGCACACACCAAGCTTAAGCCTGGTTCCTCATTCTGAGCCACTGTGCTACTGATATAGTTAAAGGCCAAGGAAGCAGGGAGAATGCTTTTTCCTAAGTTTTATGAAACAAGGAATCCTGATAACTATGGAAGTGGGCAACACTATTCTTCTTAAGATTAAGCCTGAAGCCATCACAAAACGAAGTCTTGCATGTAAAACAAGTGATAATCAAGATTCTTGCAAATGATGGCCTTTTGCAGAGCAACCTACCTGCATTTGATGGTATTCGATAACAAGCTGAATATTATCTCCAGTCCTACAGTGTCCAGCAATACTGCTTGTACAGGACCCATATTTGTTACTAGGCAACCCAAAGAACTAGAACTTAAGAAATTGTTTCAGGGCATATGGGGCTGGGAATACTTAACAATTCTCAATGCAGAGACTTTTTATTATCTACGGAATTCAGTGAATTCTGCAATTACTGAGGGTTCTTAGATCAGAAGACCAATATATCAGCCATGTTGGATGACTTATTGCTATCATATCATACTTGTTCCAAACTATATTTTCAAGTCATGCAAAGCAACGTTGAGAACAAGCTTGATAGGCTAACTTCTTCGTCGATTGAACACATGCTTTCATACAAGATTTGCCAGAATAATTTGCTATAAACAAAGGGGATGCAAAGACTGGGATTGCAAGGGTTTTCTGCTTGAAGAGGGAAACATGAAGAAACTGTCAAGTTTCCATAGGAAGGTGAAGAAAAAAATATTTCAGAATTCCTCTATGGATCATCCATTGTCAGAGAGAAATGATCATCAAAAGAGAAAAGTCAAATGTTTTTCTAACTCTCTTCATTCCTATTCACACATGCACAAATTCATCTCACAAACATAAAAGGCAGAAGTGTTATAGGAATTTTCCTCCCTTTCTATAATATTTCACTTCGTATGAGATTTATGTGCATAGATCTCAATGTGAGAGATCCCTGTTTTGCAGCAAGATGAATTCTGCACTGAAGCTCTTAGAAACTGCAAGCACAACAGCAGGGTGGATTTGATTTAAATCGAGTTGATTTAAATCACAATTTAAATCATGATTTAAATCACTAGTAAAAAGGCTTGATTTAAATCAACTTGATTTAAATCATAATTTTTAAAGAGCAACTGTCATCTCTGCTTCTCCTTTGACCCACTGTTGACTCACCGATAGTCCCAGGGTTGCAGAATATACAGCCTCATGCTACATAACTAAGCTCCATTTCATGCTGAATAAACTAAATTATTTATGTATCTTAAATAGAAAACTATCTTACGATAGATTTTTACCCCAAAAGTTTTTTATTAAAATAAATTCGATAAAAATAAAAAAAATCCGATTTAAATTAAAAAAAATCTGATTTTTTTGTTTTTTTAAAAAGATCATTGATTTTTATCCACCCTGCACAACAGTACAAATATCTAAAGCTATGCAACCAATGACTAATATAAATACATCAGAGAAATATTCAGTTACCTGATCTAATCCAGATTGAATGCTGCCACAAATATGGACAAATGACTGGAACTCACATTAGTTTTATTTCCAGGAAGAGAAAAACAGATGCTCACCGTATATATAAAGTTTATTGTCATTGTACGTATATACACAGTATACCCATACAACGAAATTCACATAACATCCAGAGACCAAGCCCAACACATATGACAATCCCAAGACACATCCCACCCACCAAAAATTCCCCACCCCTAAACCACCCAAGCTTCCACACAGCAGACCAAGTAATATATGTATCAGAGTAGAATTTATACATCTCTTTAGCAAAGAGACTAGTTTATACTGGAGAGAAAACA